AATATCAAACATACCCTTAGTCATTCCCAACTTAGGATTAGCCTGCTTGAAGTTGGATTTATCTCACATAGTAACTATAATGAGTAAAGGTGTAAAAAATGATGTCAATTTTATAATTTTTTTTATTTAAAGATGTTAACTTTGTCCATTTCTAAATAAAAATATCAACTTTCAACATTTTCTATTTAAAGATGTCAACTTTCAACTTATTCTATTTAAGGATATCAACTTTAAACTTTTTCTATTTAAGGATTAATTGGATAATGATGCTAATGTAACAAATAGACTTTTTAACCAAAATATTGAAAGTTAAAATTTTTAAATAGAAAAAAATTGTAAGTTGACATCTTTAAATAGAAAATGTTGAAAATTGACATCCTTATTTAAAAATTAACAAAATTAACATTCTTAAATAGAAAAAATTGTAAAGTTAACATCTTTTTTTTGCACCTTTACTCTTACTATAATTGCTTAACGATTTATCAAGACTTGTACTCGTATGAAGTTTTTTTTTTTTTTTTGACCTTTTTATTTTTAGAGACAAAGGTTAGCTCTTATAACTCTCAAAAATAGTTCTAAGACTGGGTGTCTAAGTTGTTACCTAATTTAGATGGAAAAATCTTACTACATAGGACAGAATAAATGTATTCTCTCTATTCAACTTTAGTACTCATAGATCTTTTTTATTAAATAAATTAGGGATATAATAATTAATCGATAAAATTTTATATTTATATTTAATTATTATTTAATATATATTATAATTATTTAAAAAAAATTTCTCAAAAAAGAAAAGTGGATAACTAAATTTAAATTTCAAATTAAAAGTTAAGCCTACAAAAGTTTTTTTTGTCTCCCTCCAAATCTACTAAAGTTGAACAGAATGAATAATATATATATTTTCAATCTGCATTTCTACCTCAAGAATTAGATGTTTAATCATAAAACTTTAAAATTTTGATCCCCACTTAGATGAGAAAAGGTGCAAATAAGAATACAAATGTCATCATTTTTTATTTAAAGATATGAACTTTATAAATTTCTAAATAAGGTAAAAAAAATTAATTTTTTAATTTAAAAATGTTAACTTTGTGTATTTTCTATTTAAGTATGCCAAGTTTATATATATATTTTTTGTATTTTAAGATTAATTGACATCTATTGATGGACTATATTACATACCATTTTATTTTAGAAATGAAAAATGTCATCTGCATGTTTTTAAGTATAATATTTTGAATGTGTTTGGATTAGTTGTCCAATTATAGTTGATAATTGATAATCGACATTCCACTATTGATAATTATTATTGTTTATAGTTTAAACATTTTAATTTGTCCAATTAGAACTGACAATAGATAATAATTTTTTAAAAACTAAGATAAATGAGATTACTATTTATTAAATGAATCTCTAAAAAATTAAAAGGAAAAACACATTAAAACTACTTGTTTAATTAAAGCATTATGAAAAATATTGAAATAAACGAATTCCTACTTTAAGCTAAATATCAAAACAAACTTATTTCTACTTTAAAATTAGCGTACTTTAGTTTTTTGCAATGAAACCTTGAATACACAGTATGATTTTGAAGTGTTTTTAAAAAATTCGACAAATAAACACTTGACTCAAAATATATACTCTTTTTATATAATATAATATGGCATCTTTTGATTGACTCTTTATTTAGAGTCACTCATAAATTGATATATATATATATATATTCTTGTTGTTTAATGTGATATTTATTATAAAAAATAACTATTTTTAAACTTAGGTATAGCATTATCATTTTTGAAATTCCTTTTTACTCCTTTAAAATTTATAAAATTTCAAAATTTTTTTAATTAAAACACTGTCTAAACTAACTAAATGTCATTATATCTTTATCATGTCCTTCAATTTTTCCCCACAAATTCCATGTTCTCCCATTGCATAGAAAACCCCATCATAAAGGGCACTTTAAGACATGCATCTATAAAAACACACCAATAAATATATGTAGATGATTGTATGCCCAAATATATATTTAAACATACAAACAAAAATGAATTTTGTTAAGCTAATAATGTTAGTTTGAAATTTACACAATAGATGAGACCTACACATAAAGAGAGTGTATTAAGTTTACGGGAAAATGCATATCAATTCTGACTCCCAAGAAAAAATTGGAGTCTCAAACCTTAATGGCATCGTTTCTCTTAATCCCCAGTCCCTACTATTTTTCGTCCCTTATGCATCCTGTCAATGATTTCCATCTCCATCGTCTCCTCACCTCCTTGACTTCTCCAATTGTTTCAATTTTTCACACACAATCCCATGTCACCAACTTGTCATTGTTGTCATTTACTATTTGTAAAGCTAAGTGGTTGTTCCCATCAATTTCATCTTGAGACATTTGTTGTGAAATTGGAAAAGAATTCATCTTAATTCTTGATTTTTTCAACTTTTTTTTGTAGATAAAGCTTAGTAAGAAAACAAAGCACCTATTGTCCTTCGATTCCTTCTTTATTACCGTCAATGGAGATGATGAATTGCAACCACAAAATGGGGTGAAAATAGTAAGTGCTGAGGATTAAGTAAGTAGCGTGGGATTGTGTTTTAAAAATTCAAGGAATCGGATGAGTCGAGGAGGCGAGGAGGTGAAGAGGCAATGGCGATGGAGATGGAGACAGAGATGGAGATGATTAATTGAGATGCAAAATGGTGAAAAACAGTAGGGGTGAAAAAGATCAAAAGAAACAATACTATTAAGGTTTGGGACAATTTTTTTTTTTTTTTGGGTTAGAATTGATACGCACTTTCCCTTTTAAGTTTATAATCCAAGAATTATATAACAAGATTGGCAATTGAAGCCAAACCTTGACGTGAGGAGTTGCTACATTTCTATGAGCCAAAAC